AGGTTCAGTGCCCTTGGGATGCTGAATAGGCTCAGTGCCCTTGGGATGCTGAATTGGCTCAGTGCACTTGGGATGCTGAATAGGTTCAGTGCCCTTGGGATGCTGAATAGGTTCAGTGTCCTTGGGATGCTGAATTGGCTCACTGCCCTTGGAATGCTGAATAGGCTCACTGCCCTTGGGATGCTGAATAGGCTCAGTGCCCTTGGGATGCTGAACAGGTTCAGTGCCCTTGGGATGCTGAACAGGTTCAATGCCCTTGGGATGCTGAATAGGTTCAGTGCCCTTGGGATGCTGAAGAGGTTCAGTGCCTTTGGGATGCTGAATAGGCTGACTGCCCTTGGGATGCTGAATAGGTTCAGTGCCCTTGGGATGTTGAATAGGCTCAGTGCCCTTATGATGCTGAATTGGCTCAGTGCCCTTGGGATGCTGAATAGGTTCAGTGCCCTTGGGATGCTGAATAGGTTCAGTGTCCTTGGGATGTTGAATTGGCTCACTGCCCTTGGGATGCTGAATAGGCTCACTGCCCTTGGGATGCTGAATAGGCTCAGTGCCCTTGGGATGCTGAACAGGTTCAGTGCCCTTGGGATGCTGAACAGGTTCAATGCCCTTGGGATGCTGAATAGGTTCAGTGCCCTTGGGATGCTGAACATTTTCAGTGCCCTTGGGATGCTGAACAGGTTCAGTTCCCTTGGGATGCTGAACAGGTTCAGTGCCCTTGGGATGCTGAACAGGTTCAGTTCCCTTGGGATGCTGAACAGGTTCAGTGCCCTTGGGATGCTGAATAGGTTCAGTGCCTTTGGGATGCTGAAGAGGTTCAGTGCCTTTGGGATGCTGAATAGGCTGACTGCCCTTGGGATGCTGAATTGGCTCAGTGCCCTTGAGATGCTGAATATGTTCAATGCCCTTGGGATGCTGAATAGGTTCAGTGCCCTTGTGATGTTGCACAGGTTCAGTGCCCGTAGGATGCTGAATAGGTTTGGTGCCCTTGGGATGCTGAATAGGCTCAGTATCCTTAGGATGCTGAATAGGTTCAGTGCCCTTGGGATGCTGAATAGATTCAGTGCCCTTGGGATGCTGACGAGGTTCAGTGCCTTTGGGATGCTGAAGAGGTTCAGTCCCCTTGGGATGCTGAACAGGTTCAGTGCCTTTGGGATGCTGAATAGGCTGACTGCCCTTGGGATGCTGAATAGGTTCTGTGCCTATACGATGCTGAATTGGCTCAGTGCCCTTGGGATGCTGAATAGGCTTAGTATCCTTAGGATGCTGAATAGGTTCAGTGCCCTTGGGATGCTGAATAGGTTCAGTGCCCTTGGGATGCTGAAGAGGTTCAGTGCCTTTGGGATGCTGAAGAGGTTCAGTGCCCTTGGGATGCTGAATAGGTTCAGTGTCCTTGGGATGCTGAATAGGTTCTGTGCCCTTGGGATGCTGAATAGGTTCAGTGCCCTTGGGATGCTGAATTGGCTCAGTGCCCTGGGGATGCTGAATAGGCTTAGTATCCTTAGGATGCTGAATAGGTTCAGTGCCCTTGGGATGCTGACGAGGTTCAGTGCCTTTGGGATGCTGAAGAGGTTCAGTCCCCTTGGGATGCTGAACAGGTTCAGTGCCTTTGGGATGCTGAATAGGCTGACTGCCCTTGGGATGCTGAATAGGTTCTGTGCCCTTACGATGCTGAATTGGCTCAGTGCCCTTGGGATGCTGAATAGGCTTAGTATCCTTAGGATGCTGAATAGGTTCAGTGCCCTTGGGATGCTGAATAGGTTCAGTGCCCTTGGGATGCTGAAGAGGTTCAGTGCCTTTGGGATGCTGAAGAGGTTCAGTGCCCTTGGGATGCTGAATAGGTTCAGTGTCCTTGGGATGCTGAATAGGTTCTGTGCCCTTGGGATGCTGAATAGGTTCAGTGCCCTTGGGATGCTGAATTGGCTCAGTGCCCTGGGGATGCTGAATAGGTTCAGTGCCCTTGGGATGCTGAAGAGGTTCAGTGCCTTTGGGATGCTGAATAGGCTGACTGCCCTTGGGATGCTGAATTGGCTCACTGCCCTTGGGATGCTGAATAGGCTCACTGCCCTTGGGATGCTGAATAGGCTCAATGCCCTGGGGATGCTGAATAGGCTCAATGCCCTGGGGATGCTGAATAGGTTCAGTGCCCTTGGGATGCTGAAGAGGTTCAGTGCCTTTGGGATGCTGAATAGGCTCACTGCCCTTGGGATGCTGAATTGGCTCACTGCCCTTGGGATGCTGAATTGGCTCACTGCCCTTGGGATGCTGAATAGGCTCACTGCCCTTGGGATGCTGAATAGGCTCACTGCCCTTGGGGTGCTGAATAGGCTCACTGCCCTTGGGATGCTGTATAGGCTTAGTGCCCTTGGGATTCTGTATAGGCTCAGTGCCCTTGGGATGCTGTATAGGTTCAGTGCCCTTGGGATGCTGTAAAGGTTCTGTGCCCTTGGGATGCTGCATAGGTTCACTGTTTTTAGGTTGTTCTTTGGGTTCATTGGTCTTGGAGTGCTCTCTAGGCTCTGTGCTCTTAGGGTGTTCTTTAGGTTCACTACCTTTGGGATGTTGAATAGGCTCAGTGCTCTTGGGATGCTCTTTAGGTTCACTGCTTTTTGGATGTTCTTTGGGTTCATTGCTCTTAGAGTGCTCTTTAGGCTCTGTGCTCTTAGGTTGTACCTTGGGTTCACTGTCCTTGGGATGTTGACTAGGTTCACTGCTCTTGGGATGCTGAATAGGTTCTTTGGGTTGACTGTTTTTAGTGGTATGATCAGTAGGCTCACTGGTCTTAGAATGCTGCTTGGGGCCACTGATTATAGTATGGTCTTTAGGTTCAGTGTCTTTGGGGTGTTCCTTATGTTCACTGCTTTGGGTGTGCTTATCAGGACTGTTACTTTTGGAGTGAGTGTTAGAGTGTTCCTGACTTTGAGTTTTTGAATGAGCTACTTTGACAGGTGAACTAGGTGAAAGCGCAGACCGGGAACCTGTAAAAAACATAAATTGTCATGAAACAAATGGTTAAATATCCAACTTGCAGGTAGCATATATTTTTTGTTTTACTGAATCCCTTGACTAAAGCACAATAGTACAGTATATGCTGGTGTCAGTATATGCTGGTGTCAAGAGAAGTGTATTTATCTTAAATTATTAACAGCTAAAATGGTTCTGAATGTTTTAGGTACTTACAACAATGGCAGCTCTCGTCAAAGACCAGACCAACAGGGCAGTCTTGTTGATAGGTTAGCCCTTTCCAGCAGTTCCAGAATGCATTTTTATTCCCTTGTACTGGGTAAAGACCAGTTAATTTTCCAACGCAGAATCCTTTGCCACCCGCATTGCCACTGCTTTTTGCTGGAGCAGAGTAAACACCTACAACAAAATCATAACCTTTATTTCTTTATCGATTCTATTTATATATCTATTTCTATTACAATTTCTGTGGAGAGACTAAGTAGTTTTGGGACCTTCTCTTTTAAACAGAAAGGGAAGGGATTTAAAAAAATAAATTTAAGTGGAGTTCAGCTTTAGCACTGCTGCACACATGTCCCTTTTTTGCTGCGTTAAAGCTGGCGGATTTGCATGACAACTGAAATTGAATGTGTTTCTTTGGATTGCGTTCAGATATATGTGTTAGAGATTGCTGTTTTGAAAAAGGATCCTGTGTGAGTTTTGGACTGTGCAATGCAAAATTGCAGTGTTTACGTTCAATGAGAGTTATCATATTACAGTGCGTTTTTCAGAGCCCTCACTGGGGGCTGAAGTGGCTGAGCAAGCTGCCTATTCAGGCATCTGGTTTGATCCCGACCATATGGTCGGGATCTCTTTAGAGCCTGGACCAGCTCTGTGACAGCGGGATCCAAAGCTTTGGCTATACGTCTTTAGGTGAAGTCCTGTTGGAAGTTTCATGTCCTGGTGTTTTGTGTGTCCTATGGATCAATAAATATACACTGACCCTTCTTCCTATTACATTAAACAAAGTACTTGATATTGTAGAGGCTTTTAATTATAATGGTATATTTTAGTAATGGTACACTGAAAGCAACCCTTGTCAAAACTATGAGGAAGGAATGAAAGCTTTAGTGTAAAGTGTTAAGAGTTTTCATTAGATTGCCATGCTGGATGGCCCTCATCTAAAGCCTTGCTAGCAATTATCTACTGATAATACACTTATAGCAATACATTTATAGCAATTTACTTTCTGTTGCATGTGCTGAGTTAAATAGGTTAACTTTTCTACTGTCATTAGATAAGAACATTGTTCTTCAGTGAAAAGCAAATAAAAATATTTTACATGTTTTACAGGAACTAAAACTGGATTTAAAGTAATTAAAAATGTTCCAATCAGTGCCAGGACAAGGTCATCTAGAGCCAAGATGCCAAACAGTGCCTCCACATGATTTGTCAGCAAAAATCCCCTCCTCCCCCAAATACATTCAAGCACTGTAGGGGGGCAATAGAAAGTCTACAGGATTATAGCATTGGGACCCCGCACTATAGATGCCACTGTGCAGTGTTTGCTTACCTGCCTGTCACCCACATTCTTGGCTGGGAAGAGATGGGGGAGGACAAACAAACACTGCACAGTGGTGAGTTAGCAGTCCTAATCCAAGAGAGCTGCAGTGGCAGGAGGAGGAGCTGGAGGGGAGAGAGCACAACCTGCCACTCCTCCCAGCTCTCTCCTCCTCTCCTGATCTGACTTGCTTCCTCCAGATCTAAGCTGAGAGGAGTCACTACTCTTGTCAGCTTGTAGGTAGGAACTTTCCATGAGGTGCCTCCCCCCCACCTCACATGATACCACTGCCTAGGGCAGCTGCCCTTCCCGCTCACCCCTTGTCCTGGCCCTGGTTCCAATGCATACTGTACAATCAACATCTTCCATTTCAAGACTGCATTTCAGTCCCCTTTTGATTACTTACAGCATTGGCAGCCCTCACTGAAAGTCAGACCTGCAGGACAATCTTGCTGATAGGTAAGCCCTTTCCAACAGTTCCAGAATGCATTTCTTTTTCCTGCTACTGGGTATAAACCATTTGCTTTTCCCACACAGAATCCAGTGCCAGTTGAACTTCCAGGATTATTGCCTGAATGATCCTCATGCTTAGAATTTGTATCACTACTCTTTGAATGTTCCTCAGAACCACTGCCCTTTGGATTGTTTGTCTTTGGATGTTTGTTAGATTGTTTGTTTTTTTGGTGGCTTCCAGTGTCATTTGGGTGGTTTTTAGACTCATTGCTCTTTGGAGAGTCAGTGCCTTCAGGTTGGATAGAATGATGCAAATTAGGGTTATTGCGGTTATGACTAGCTGGAGTCTTGGGTGAAGATGAAGAGGTACAAGCTGAAAAAAAAATCAGCATGATTATGAAAATGTTCGTTTTTTGTTTGCATTGCATTTATGGAAAATAACTTACTGGTAGAATCAATTCCAAGGGTTTCCTTCAATGCAGAGACAAGAGGGAATTTGCCTTGGTTACAAAATGTACCAGTGAAATCATCCATGTCAAGTGACCAAACCATTGCTCCTCCAAAGTTATTCTGCATCAACCAATCAGCCTACAGTTAGGAAACACAATATTATCAATAAATAAAATTATACATTCTTTTCCAGTTTTATTCTAACAGGATATAAGGATGAGTAGTAAAACTGACACAGGACATATAGCGGCATCCTAGTAGTCCTAAAGAGCCATATATCATAAGAAGACCTATTACCTACAATAAATACTAGCAATATGGTAGTGTTTACATTTATTAGTACATAATTGAATTATGCACTTTGTATGTCAGACTCACTTCAAGTGTATATATAGACAACACTTTTCCTAGTTTTGGATAAAGTACGAAAGGGACAACTCCCTAACATTGTTATTTTTATTGCTGTCTGTGTACTCTTTGAAAACATTCCTTCAATTCCTGTCACCAGAAATCTCCCAAGTTTCCCTCTTTGACAGTTGTCCCCAGGAAAAGTGTCCCCATTAGAATATTTCTCACCTCTTGTCTTAGGCACAGCTCCAACATTTTGGATTTCTTCAAAATTTCTGTTTACGTGACAATGGTCACCAGTACAAAAAAAATGGTGGGTCTCCTCAATGAGGAATTGGCAGATGTCCACTTAGTTTTTCAAAGAAAGCATGTTACTTTATTTTAAATAATTTTTTTCAAGGTACGGGTAAGTACATGCTGTATGAATGCTGTGCTGTTAGCGAAGTTGTTGGCATAAACTGTATACCAACTATATACTGTAGAACTGTCTTTTTTTATAGTCGTGCTTGAGCATAACTACCACAAGCTCTTTGAAGATGAAAAAGAATAAGTAATCACACTTCAAAGCACAAACTTTCATTCAGTAACCTAAAACTGTAATGTGAATTTTGTGACATGATCTGCTTCAGTTGTAAATGCAATGATGATTAGCTGGGAAGGAAAAAAATCTTTTAAAGTAAAAACTATTTTTGTATTCGCAGAAGAAAATGTTTTTTTGGATAGTCCTAAATGAATCATACTGTAGCATACTGTAGGTGTTATGAAGGTATTTAAAAAGTACCTTCAGCTGGAAACTGATGGTATTATCATACCCCACCCAGTCACTGCCATGGAAGGCATAGGGAACATCTTCGGAAAAAGACCATTCACTTCTGGCCCCAGTCTTTATAAAATGGCAGATCTGAAAATAAGAGACAAGAAACAATAGCTTGTAATATGTACGTGCATAACTGCTATAAACTTAAATTGTATTGAAAGACATAGTTTCGAAGATTAGGAAAAATTCAATTCGCGCCGAATCCGAAAATTAGCAAACTTCGGATGCACGAATCGAATTTTCCCAAAAATGGCGGCGACATGTGTGGCGACGGAGCGGGGATCTCTGGGAAGGCGCGCAGACAAGGCGTGCTGACCCATAATGCATTCATTCATGACATGTGATCGCATTAGCCAATCAGCAGCCAGCCAGCCAGCACTGTGTAATGGTGGAGCTATAAATCGCGGCCATCTTAGAATTCTCCATTAGCCTCCGGTCATTCAAGAGAGACAGACCTGTCTGTATTAGGGACAGAGTTAGGGCCACAGAGACTTTAGGGCCACAGAATCGTTACTCAGGGACACAGAATCGTTACTCAGGGACACAGAATTGTTACTCAGGGACACAGAATTGTTACTGAGGGACACAGAATTGTTACTGAGGGACACAGAATCGTTACTCAGGGACACAGAATTGTTACTCAGGGACACAGAATTGTTACTCAGGGGACACAGAATCGTTACTGAGGGACACAGAATCGTTACTGAGGGACACAGAATCGTTACTCAGGGACACAGAATCGTTACTCAGGGACACAGAATTGTTACTCAGGGACACAGAATTGTTACTGAGGGACACAGAATCGTTACTGAAGGACACAGAATTGTTACTCAGGGACACAGAATTGTTACTCAGGGACACAGAATTGTTACTCAGGGACACAGAATCGTTACTCGGGGACACAGAATTGTTACTCAGGGACACAGAATCGTTACTCAGGGACACAGAATCGTTACTCAGGGACAGACACAGAATCGTTACTCAGGGACACAGAATCGTTACTCAGGGACACAGAATTGTTACTCAGGGACACAGAATCGTTACTCAGGGACAGACACAGAATTGTTACTCAGGGACACAGAATCGTTACTCAGGGACACAGAATCGTTACTCAGGGACACAGAATTGTTACTCAGGGACACAGAATCGTTACTCAGGGACACAGAATCGTTACTCAGGGACAGACACAGAATTGTTACTCAGGGACACAGAATCGTTACTCTCAGGGACAGACACAGAATTGTTACTCAGGGACACAGAATCGTTACTCAGGGACACAGAATCGTTACTCAGGGACACAGAATTGTTACTCAGGGACACAGAATCGTTACTGAGGGACACAGAATCGTTACTGAGGGACACAGAATCGTTACTCAGGGACACAGAATTGTTACTCAGGGACACAGAATTGTTACTCAGGGACACAGAATCGTTACTGAGGGAAACAGAATCGTTACTCAGGGACACAGAATCGTTACTCAGGGACACAGAATCGTTACTCAGGGACACAGAATCGTTACTCAGGGACACAGAATCGTTACTCATGGACACAGAATCGTTACTCAGGGACACAGAATTGTTACTCAGGGACACAGAATTGTTACTCAGGGACACAGAATCATTACTCAGGGACAGACACAGAATTGTTACTCAGGGACACAGAATCGTTACTCAGGGACACAGAATCGTTACTCAGGGACACAGAATTGTTACTCAGGGACACAGAATCGTTACTCAGGGACACAGAATCGTTACTCAGGGACACAGAATTGTTACTCAGGGACACAGAATCGTTACTGAGGGACACAGAATCGTTACTCAGGGACACAGAATCGTTACTCAGGGACACAGAATTGTTACTCAGGGACACAGAATCGTTACTCAGGGACACAGAATTGTTACTCAGGGACACAGAATTGTTACTCAGGGACACAGAATTGTTACTGAGGGACACAGAATTGTTACTGAGGGACACAGAATCGTTACTCAGGGACACAGAATCGTTACTCAGGGACACAGAATCGTTACTCAGGGACACAGAATCGTTACTCAGGGACAGACACAGAATTGTTACTCAGGGACACAGAATCGTTACTCAGGGACACAGAATTGTTACTCAGGGACACAGAAATTGTTACTCAGGGACAGACACAGAATTGTTACTCAGGGACACAGAATTGTTACTCAGGGACACAGAATTTGTTTACTCAGGGACACAGAATCGTTACTCAGGGGGACAGACACAGAATCGTTACTCAGGGACACAGAATTGTTACTCAGGGACACAGAATCGTTACTCAGGGACACAGAATCGTTACTCAGGGACACAGAATCGTTACTCAGGGACACAGAATTGTTACTGAGGGACACAGAATCGTTACTCAGGGACACAGAATCGTTACTCAGGGACACAGAATTGTTACTCAGGGACACAGAATCGTTACTTTCTGCTTCACAACCACTATTGTACGTTCAAAGAGTTAAATCCTGTTTTTATGTTTTGGGGTGCTTATTGAATTAAAGAGTATGTCAGACAACACGCAGAGGAGTGGCAGAGGAGGCAATGTTTCAGGAGCGAGCAGACGTGGCAGCAGAGGAAGGGGTCGAGGCAGCACTAGTCGCAGCCAGAGGCCAGTGCTCCCGGTGTCATCCAGCGGTCGTGTCTCCACCGACAACCCTGCCGTCATCGATTGGTTGACTCGGTCGTCTTCCTCTTCCCCGGTCACCTCTGACACCTACAGCCAACGGTCGGTGGGTACGTCAGACACAACCGTTAGTTGGCATGGCCCGGGAGCAAGCCCACTGAAATCACGTGTCCTCTACCTGCCCCTGTCCTTTGGTGTTCCCTCACCAAGCGAAGTATCGCATGCTGCGGGCTCAGCCCCACTGTACAGTGAGGAAGAGCTAACAGAGGGCGGTCAGGAACGGGGGGAGACATCCGCCTCTTCAGCAGCCAGGCGAAGAAGTACTGGCGAGGAGAGTGGCTCGGTAGCCGGTCTAGAGACAGGTCTGTCTCCTGACCCACACGCAGCCGAGGGGGCTAGTAGTGACGCGGAGACCCTAATTGATGATGATGAGGCTGATCGCACTTGGCAGCCTCGTCGTCATCAGGCTATTGCTTCCGCATCATCAGGAGAAGAGAGGGTGCCAGCTTGCCAGCGAGCAAAACAGTCGGTGGGTTGCCCAGGAGGCAGCAGGGTCGCAGCAGTGTCAGTGGAGGCAAACGGCCACGGAGTCGAGCACCAGCTCCACTGCAGCCTACCACCACGGCCAGTAGTGGTGCCGGTGTGCACGGAGGAAGTAGCAGTCAGCCAGTGAGGAGTAGCGGGGGCAAAGTTTCCTACTCGGCGGTGTGGCAATTTTTCGTCAAGCCGCCCGAGGAGGAAGTAAACGTAGCCGTATGTCGACTATGTGGCCAGAAAGTCAAGCGTGGCCAGGGGGCCCATGTTGGGACTACAGTGTTGCGTCAGCATATGCAGCGTCGCCATTCGGTGGCCTGGGAAAACCGTGATAAAGATACGGCGGTTCTGCCTGCCCCAGCCCCCGCTCCATCACCCGCTCCGTTACTTGCTCCGTCATCCGACGTCAATCGCCCTCTATTAGCCAGTCAGGCTCCAATACCTCTGCTGAGGGGAGTTGTCACTCGTTGGCATCTTCCGCTCGTTCAGATGCTCCTTCTCCTGCTACTCCTCTTCACGGATTCCGTCAGCAGTCTTTCTTGGAATCCGTTTCCAAGAGACAACAGTTTGCGAGTACGCACCCGACGGTGCAGAAGCTGAACGTCCTCCTGTCTAAGTTGCTGGTGCTGCAGTCCCTCCCTTTCCAAGTGGTGGACTCAGCACCTTTCCGAGAAATGATGGCTTGTGCCGAGCCGCGGTGGAGAGTGCCAAGCCGGCATTTCTTCGCCAAAAAGGCAGTGCCAGCCCTGCATTCACATGTAGAAGAGATGGTGGGCCAGTCTTTGAGCATGTCGGTCTCTGCCAAAGTGCACGGCAGCGCCGACGTGTGGAGCTGTAACTACGGTCAGGGACAGTACATGTCATTTACGGCCCACTGGGTGAACGTGGTGCCGGCACAGCCGCACCAGCAACTTGGACAGGTCACGCCGCTTTTGCCTCCACGTTTGCACGTCCTTGGTCCACAAAAGATGTCCGCCTCTACCACCTCTTCTTCCGCCGTGTCCTCAGCCACCACCCCCGTGCCAAGTCCCATTACCCGACCGGCATATCACATGTGCAGGGCGCAACGGTGTCACGCTGTGCTGCACCTGGAATGCCTTGGCGAACGTAGTCACACAGGGGGAGGAACTTCTGAGTGTAATGAACAGAGAAATCGACAGATGGCTGTCTCCGCGCAAACTGAAAATCGGAACCATGTTGACCGACAACGGAAAGAACATGGTGTCTGCTCTGCGTCAAGGAAGGTTGTGCCATGCGCCATGCATGGCTCACGTGTTCAATCTGGTTGTCAAGCGGTTCCTAAAATCCACCATCCCACTGCAAGACATCCTTAAAATGTCACGTAAACTTTGCATGCATTTCAGCCATTCCTACACCGCAAAGCACACCCTCCTTGAGCTGCAGCGGCAGAACAGAACGGAATTCCACAGCATCGCCTGATCTGCGACGTTGCAACAAGGTGGAATTCAACCCTACATATGTTAGACCGCCTTTACGAACAGCGAAAGGCCATCACCGATTTCCTGATGTTACAAGCGGATAAAGGTACTCCCCTGTGTAACTTAGATGTCAGCCATTGGCAGCTCATGCGTGACACCTGCCGCTTGCTCAGGCCCTTTGAGGAGGCCACGCTATTCGTGAGTCGGCAGGACTATGGGATGAACGACGTCATTCCTCTGTTGCACGTCCTGGAACAAATGCTGTTAACAATGGCTGGTCAGGGTGCGGTAGACTTGGCGCACAGATCTCAACGCCACATGACCCCTGTGGGGGCAGGACAGGAAAGAAGAGGAGGAGGTAGAGGAGGACATTGGTGCTCAGGAATTATTGAGTGAAATGGGTGGTTTTTCCACTCAGCGGACAGGAGTGGAGGAGCAGGAGCATCTGGTAGAGGAGGAGGAGGAG